CTGAGGCCAAGAATGGTCTTCCACAGATGGCAGAGGCTCGTCCTGTGTCCACGCTGAGTGGCCAGGAGTGCACCCCAGCCTCCAGGGGAAAGACGCACAACAAATGTTAGCACATTGATATTTGATTCTTCAGCCATTGAGAAAAAACTGGTTTTATTTCCTCAAATTAAAAGCAAYTCTTGAGTTTTCTCCTTACAATATTAAAGATGACACCTGCTTGAACTTCATAACAAATATTCCAAGTGCAGCCTTTTTACTTCATGGAGTGTGAACGTTCTTGCAATGAGGCCAAGAAATTGGCCTCAAACAGATCATGTTGCTATGGGTATGAGAGTCCCTGCATCCCAACCGTGTCAGATCTTTTTACTTCTTTAAAGACTTCACTGTGGAAGTCTTTATTATCTAGGGAGACCAGAGTCTCTTGGGCRGAGAAAGAGACCCCTGATTTGGAGACCGGCTGACTCATTCCCAGCTCCCTGCTTCAGGGTCACCTTGTGATCTGACCTTGCAGGGAGGCCTCTCAGCCTATTAAAAATCTCATGAATTCAGTGTGGTTCCAGAAAGGTGAGTAACCCGGTGACCAGGTTCCAGGGACAGCTAAGGGGGGCCCACCCTGCCTTCATGGAAAGGGGATGAACTCAGGGGTATCCCTGTGCCTCCCACAGCTGGGAAGTGTGGGGGCTGCTCAACTTCAAGGGGTGCATTAGATCTTGGGACACGGACAGAGCAGGGCTCCCTGGGGCTCCACAGGTCTGTGAAGGTCACTAAACACAAGGAAAAATGGAAAAGTTTCCCACATCTGCTCCCGACAGATGATGTTAAACCAACATAACGGCCAATAATTTGAGGGAGAAATTTGACGTTGCAGAAGAGCGTTGAAGACAGGGGACTGGAACTCAAGGAAGAGCCTGTCAGAGCCCGGAAGTGCCTGCTTCTTCTCTGAGCCAAGTGTGCGCACCTGTGTGCTTTCAAATGCCGCTCAGCAACCGATTCTTATGGCTCTTCTCGAATTTAGGAACAAAAATGTGAAGTTGACCTCATACCCCAGAGTGTTAAGGTAAAAATGATGGAGAAAGAGTGAAACATACTATTAAATATCAAGGCATTAAAAGGTTTGCAGGCATTTATTCTGAGCTACCAGAAGCCTAATGGTTGATTCTAACACAACACTGAGGCTATAAAGACAAGTACAACAYGCCTTCCAACACAGTGCGCCTGCCCAGGAGGCAGTGATTGCTAGGCAGAAGTAAAGACCTGGTGCCAGGCATGGTGGTACACACTTGTCATCTCAGTGACTTGGGAGGCTGAGGCAGGAGGGTCGCAAGTTTGAGGCCAGCCTGGGCAACTCAGTGAGGTCCTAAGCAACTTAGCAAGACCCTGTCTCAAAAAAAAAAAAAGTACTGGGAATGTGTCTGAGTGGTCAGCACTGCTGGATTCAACTGGAGGAGGAGGAGGGAGAGCAGAAGAAGACATAGTATTAATAGAAGTAGTAAAGGCCCGAGGGTGTGAAACACCCCAGAGGACACTAGCCACCCTTCCTTGGGGGGTTACAAGGATGGRATACCTGAAGTGAGAGTCAAGGACCCCTCTTTTTCTAGAGTAACAGAGTAGGGTTAAAGCGTGGAGAGAGAGAGGAGGGCAAGAGAAAGCACTTGAAGCTGGGGAGCAGCTGATGGCCTGGGAACCATGGGTAACTCGACATTAGTGGACACGTTAGGAAGGTCCCCRGGGGTGGGCAGAGATGCAGCCACCCAGAGGTGGATGGTGCTATATGGCAGAGGGGCGAGGTCCCACAAAGCCCCATCCAGTGCCCAGTGAGGGCTCAGCTGGGCAGAAGCCTTGCCCTCCTCCCTYCTTCCCTCTGCTTGTCCATGTTAGGAGTCCTTGGCCTAGTACGCTCATCCTCCCACATTTAAGCAATAATTTCCTATCTTTGGAGAGAGAAGGAGGGAGAAAACGATTAGCCTGAGATACTAGAATGAATTCAGATGATCCTTTGCAGAAAATGGCATTTGCCTAGAATAAAGGAAGGCATGCAAGTCACAGTGCTCTGCCACTCAGTCCACCACTGCGCTGCCCGGCAGGCACCGTGCTACTCAGCACTTGAGGTCTGGTGAGCCCAAGTCAAACGTGCCGAAAGCACAGATTAGGCACCAAAACGTGTTACTTGAAAAACGGAATGGACCCTATCTCCTGAATTTCTTGTGATGACTCCATGTTGGTATTGTGATATTTTAGATAGATAAGTAAAATGCATCACTAAAAATAACTCCCCGTTTCTTTGCACTGTTTTCAACGTGACGATGGGATCATCCTAAATTACCGATGTGGCTCACGTGCTTCTCTCAGACAGCGCTGTTTACAAGAGCAGAACAGCACTTTGTTTGCCTCTGTGCTCRTTCTTCTTTGTTAGCCTTGGAGGTAGTCATTTAAATTAAAATAAAATATTCATAGAAATCAACAAGACCTCTTTCCTGGAGACGTGTAGGGAAAAAGTAGTGTCATGAAGAACTGCCAGTTTTATCCCTCCCCATGCTAAGTAAACAGCGGGCCACAGAACTGCACACACACTCGGGGTGTGAGAAGGCGAGCGGCACTGCTGGGCACCAAGGGTGCTGCAAAGACTCTGTCCTGAGGGCTGCGTTCCCAGCGCCACCTCTCAGCGCTCACTGCCTCGCTGGACCCTGTGTGGCCAGAGGAGGCTCTCACCCGTGGTCCTGCCGAAGGGCTCCACTCTCCCGCAAGAGACCTCAGCTCCATAAGYGCTACACCTGCCTCCCCCCACAGGCAGGCAGTCTGGGCAAGGAAGTGGGCATGGGCAACGGGCAGTGAGTTTCCTTGCCTTGGCACGGAAATGTCACGTACACATGTTAATGGTAACATCGCATCAACCAAAAGCTGCAAAAATGTCACAAAGGACTCTCATGAACCCTTCACTTCTGTGCCCCATGGACATAACATCACATTGGCTTTATTATTTTTTCTGTCTTCATATGTATATATCTTCTGTACATATTTATGCAGTAAGTTCTAAAATCACTTAAAAATAAGTCACCAAAATGACAGCCGTTACCCTATATATTTCAGTAGGCTTTCCCAAAGGGCAAGGGCACTCTCTGAGATACCAATGAAGTTACCAAAGTCAGGGAATGGGTATTCACACATACCTACTATCTTATCTACAATCACAGTCTCTAAGTCATCCCAATAATATCCTTTAGAGTAAGAAGGAATAAATACAGGTCCAAGAACCAATTTGGATCAAGTCGTGCATGAAGGTCGTGTTTGTCTTCTTTGGTAGTGGAGTAACTCTTCGTCTGTTTTCATATCCTTTACGACTTTGATATTTGAAGGGCAGAGGCCAGCCTTCTGTAGGGCGTCCCTCTGTCTGGCATTGTTGGAGGGTTCCTCATGACGACACTGGCTATAAATTTTGCTGGAATCTTCCTGTATCTTTCTCAGGGCCACAAATCCATGGACTTTTTCCTGTTACTAGTGAAATCACTTTGCCCTAGCTGGTGTGAGGTATCTGCCAGGTGTCTTCACTGTGGAGTTGAAGGTTTCACTCATGACTAATAACTACTGTACAAGTAATTCTGTGAGACTGTGTAAAGGACCTGTTGTCATCAAACTCAGATTCAACATCTTAGCAGTCATGGATCATTTCTGCATTAGAAGTGTTTTAGTGTGAAGACTGCCAAATCATAATTCCTGAACTAAATCATTCCTCCAGTGTTCATTCACTGGCATTTTATGGTAAGCGCAAGCCATCCCTTCCACCTCATTCCCTAAGTTGTGTCTTGTCCTTGTTTGAATATGTCCATGGATTTTTATTTCTCATCTGCTACTGTGATCATCTGTGTGGACAATCCAGTGATTTATTACTAGTCATTCTCACTTTTCAAAACTCAGCCCGTGTTCATGGAGAAGTCACTGTTCTCCTCTCTTCTCCTGCCTTGCTCCATCTCCTCGTGATGGAGAGGATTGGTAGTGGTTTGTGGCCATTTTGCTGATGAGAAACCACTAACGGCTGACAGGCCTGGCGCTAGATCACAGACCCAGGTGTAGGGTCTTCAAAGCTCATGCTTTTGACCAATATTAGCTTTGGTTGTGGATTGTCTTATTTCAAGACCCCAACAAATAAAAAAGACAAATTTAATATTAAAATATAGCTCTAAATTGGTTTCCTGAATGTTCACGAGTACCAGCATTACCAAGAGAATAAAACCACATGATAAATTCCTCCCCAGTCACTTCTCTTAGCCTAGGACATGAGGATGATACCAAAATGGGTTGAAAAACATTTTCCAAACTGTGCCCAGCTCAGGGATCCTGACATGGCCCACAGGGCATTTGAGAATTCCTGTGGGAGAGACATTTGTGTCCCAACCATCTTGTTCTCTAGAGACCCTGATCATCACACCTCCCCCAAACACCAGGGAGAGCGAGGGCGCTGTGACAATCCCTGTCACCACTAAAATAAAATCGGAGACCCAAGGAATCCTGGCTCAGTCTCCAATCAGCAGTAACAGAAATAAAAATTTTATTTTGATCTATTTTGTTTATTCTTTGCTCTGTGTAGATCTTAAGCCCTAGATTCATATTTATCTAATTAGGAACAGAAAGAGGAAACTAAGACGCTTGCTAAGAACATGACAGCTGAATGGCATGAATCACACCCCACGAGCAATGGGTGCTCTCGGAGAGCAAAGGGACACTCCAGACTTTGCAGGAATGTCCTTGAGCTGGCTGTCACCTGAGGAAGAGTAAGTCAGGATGGCTCCTGTGAAACAGGAGGTCACAGGGAACAGGAAGAGGCTGATGGGCATCAGCTAAGTGGCGACTCACACCAACAGAGCAGCCAGAGTCCTGTGGCCCGACCAGCTGAGAAGTGAGACCCTGCCCCGCCTCGACGGGCACCCTTGCTTCTGGCTCCCTGCCCTCAAAACTGAGTGAATTGGGATGGAAAATGAGAGCTGAGAACAATAAATAGCACCTACCTGGATAAGAGACAGGTCCTCGAGCTGCAACCTGAAGAGGTAGTTCCTGCAAGACACAAGAGGAGAGCAGGTTTATTTTTAGTGGATTCTAAAAAATTCATAAGTGTTATGAGAATAAAGGACACGAACACATGAAGATTTGGGCTTCAGACTTATCCTGATGCAGGAGTAATATCCTGAGTATATAAAAGAATTCAAAAAATGAAACACCAAAAAAAAAAGTAATCCAGTTAATAAACTGGCAAGTGTATTAAACAGACATTTTACAAAAGAAAAACAAAACTGGTCAACAAATACAAGCACCATCTTTACTAGCAAAAGAAACCATCTTAAATATTTAACAGGAGGCAAATGGTTATGAACACCACAATATATCCACAAAAATATTCAAAAATTTCAAAATCAAGATTGATCTAGCTGGGTGCAGTTGTGTACACCCGGAATCCTTTGGCTGAGTGGGGAAGACTGCAAGTTCAAAGTCAGCAATACCCTGTCTCAAAAAATAATAATAATAATATTCAGCATCAGAGAGAAATTCAATCAAATCATCTCATTTACGAAAGCTAGAGGAAAAATATCAAAAAAGCTAGAGAAAAAATCAAATCATTAAATTAGAGATATACAAATCAAAACATCACTGAGATTTCATCTCACTCCATCAAGAACACAACCAGGGCTGGGGCTACGGCTCAGTGGTTAGAACGCTTGCCTCGCATGGGTGAGGCACTGGGTTCTATCCTCAGCACCACATAAAAAAATAAATAAATAAACAAAATAAAGTTATTAAACAAAGAACACAAATAATAATAAATGCGGGAGAGGATGTGGACAAAGGCACACCTTTACACTGCTGGCAGATAACCAGTTGGTAAACCACCATGGAAATCAGTATGGAGTTTCCTTAAAAGACAGGAGTGGAGCCACCATATGACACAGCTAAGCCACTCCTCAGTGTTACTCTAAAAGTGTTAAAGTCAGCATAGATGGTGACACGCACACACCTCTGTTTATAGCAACACCATCCACAACAACCAAACTATGGAACCAGCCTAGGTGTCTCTCAGCAGATGAATAGTTAAAGAAAACACGGTATGTATACACAATGGGGTGTTATTCACCCATAAAGAAGAATGAAATTACGGCATTTAGGAAAATATATAGAAATCGAGAACATCATGTTAAACCAAATCCAGAAAGTCAAGAGTTGTGAGTTTTCTCTCACATGTGAAAGCTAGAGAGGAAAAAAGAAATAAAGAAATAAAGAAGGTTGTGGTGGGGATCTCATGAAAATTGAAAGGAGACCAGCAAAGTAAGGAAAGGGACCAGGGGAAGGGTAGAGGGTGGGAAATCCTGGGGAATGATACTGGCCAAACTACATTGTTATATCATGTGCATTTACAAATATGCAACAGTGAATCCCACCATTATGGATAACTATAATGCACCAATAAAAATATGGAGAAAAGCTTCCTGCTAACGACATGCCCAGCTCAGAGGACAAAGGCCTTCACCAGGCCAACGGACACACTGAGACTGCCAGGAGAGCTGGTGAGGAAGTCCCCAGCGTGGGGACTGGGAAGGTCAGGTGCCTCTCTCCATCTGCATGCATTAGAAAAGGACAAGGGCATTTGATTCTGAAACTGAGTTTAACTTCAGTAAAAGCAGACCYAACTGTTCCCCAGGAGTCTCCACTCTGATCCATGGCCCCCTTTCAGCACGTTTTTTATGCAGGAATGTGAATTTCACCCAGGGTCTCAGTATCATGGCACTCCATCTTGTTGAGGAATTCAGTTTAGAAATATAGACTTGTTCGTCCACCTGAGGACACTGATGCTCCCAAGGGTTTGAGTCAGTTCTGTGGTCCTCATGAGACACAGGAAATCTGAGAAATGGACACTGTCAGGGGATACAAGGAATAGCAGGTCCACAGTGTTGCAGCTTTGGGGGAAAACCCACTGCCCTCCATCACGGGGCCATGTTGGCCTCTGGCTGAGATGATGGTGGCTCCTTATCATCCTGAAGGAGCCACCAGGGCAGCAGCAGCAGCAGCAACATTCCAGAATGAAAGGAGAAATCAACTCTGTGAAAGTGGAAGTGGAAAGAAAAAATTGATCTACAACAGAGAGCAGACCCTTGGGTGTGGATGAGTGTGGGCAGGGTCTAGAGGAGCCGGGTTGTACGATGGGTTGCCCAAGGTCACTTCTATGGCACTATGAAAAACTTCCCAGTGAGAAGCAAACACAGATGACATCCCCTACACTACCTTGGGGAGGGGTAAAGATGGAAGATGTCAGAGGTCAGAACTGGACCTGCCACTGCAGTCAGAATGCCAAGTGCTGCCATGCCAGGCAGGCACAGCTGCCAGGGGACCAAGGAACACGGTCATGGTCAGAGATGGGGCGGACGAAGCACAGCAGAATCTGATGCTCAGTAGCATCTGAGCTCACACTGCTGGAGGGCGTCCAGGATGAGGGCTGGCACCGCCCTGGGCACCAGAATTATCACAATCCCTCCCACACCATGGGCATAATGCCACCCACCAAGTGAAGCCTGTCTCCGGCCAACCACAATAGCCTCTCGCCACATGCTTTCTGTCTCTCCAATTTAACCCCTGATATCCTGCCAGAGAAGCTTCTGGAAGCATTGCTTGGCATGTGCCATCCTTACCGCAAAGCTGTTGGGAGGAGACCTCCCTGTCTTTTATTACAGTAAAGCCAGCGTCCTCCATGCAGAGCCAGATACCAGGTCCTCAGGGGAGCAGGAATGCCATAGGAGAGTGGGTTTTTTTGTTTTGTTTTGTTTGTTTTGGTCAGACACCAGGGAGAAGACAAGTTTCCAACAGGAAGTTCATCTGAGGGAAAGGGAGCTGAGCTCAGGGCACAGGTGGAACAGAGTGACTGCCAAGGGAAACCGTGGAGGCCACCAGCGTCTCAAGTTTTCCCATACTCTCAACGGCTGTGGACAGGCACCCACACCTCTCCTGTAAGGGAGGTGAGGAATCCATACACAGGACTCGTCTCTCAGCTGAGGGACTGGCAAGGGACACGAAGGGCAAATACAACCCATCACCTCCCTGAGCAATGGGGCTCCACCCTCCACCATTTCCCCTGAGCCTTCTAGTGCAAGCAGCTGCCCCTGTACTAGGGGAGGCATGATTCCCTGGTGGCTCAGAACAATTGTACAAAGAAGAGCTCTGCCACCATACAGCCTCAGGAAGGAAGTGATTCCACTCTAGACCTCAGTCTTCTCATCAGGAAAATGGAAGTGATCATCACGCCTAACCACTTAGTGGTGGTGGTGTGAAATTTAAACCCAAGGAAACTGTTTAGAATGGAGCCTGATCAATTAACAGCTGCAGCTTCTAGTTGAAAATGAAGACTATTAAAACTTCCAGGCACACTGAAATCCTCAGCATATTCTCCACTTCCCTGGGACAGGAAGAGTGGTTCTGCCTTCCAGCAATCGCAGGTTAGAAGCAGAGGTGACACAGGCATCCCTGTGTCTTTAGGGATGGGCTGCAATGGGGAGGGGTGGTGGTGGTGCTGTTGGGTCTTAGGAAAGGAGACAGTGTTAGTTTTCTTGTCATTGGTTGAGAGAAACTATTTGAACCCAAGATTCCTATTCTCTTTCAATTTTTCTCTTACACATGCCCACAGGCTATGATCATACTACAGYATCCACCTTGGAACACCTTCTGGAATGGTAGCCCTCGTACACCAAGGAAGGAAAGAAGTGCTCTCCCGTCAGTGAGGAAAGAAGATGGTAGGAGCCACCGTGCTCTGCAGAGCTCCCAGCAGATACTTGGAGAGGAAAGCTCAAGACCCTTTCTCTACTTGGGAGCAATGGGTGGAGGTATAGAGACCACCTCTGAATCTCTGGCTCCAAAGTCAGGTGTTTTCCACAGCAGATAACACTGACTTAGGACTGAAACCACATCACACTCACATTCCACAGGTCCCTAAGCAAATGTCACTCTTCTGAACATTATTTTTTCTGCTTCCTGCATGCTATGAGCCTGTAAGTCACTTCCTCTCGGCAAACCATGCCAATGATTTCAACATCTCCCTCCTTCTCCCAAACACCTGAGAACTATGTCTCCCTCCCAATTTTCTCATTAGTAATAACAAATCCATATGGAAGATACAGAGCAGGAGGCAGGAGGAGGCAGAGAGGAGGCATGTGCCTTCTAGGAAAAATGTTAAGCGATACCGTTGCCATCACCACGCCCATGCCCGACACCATGCCCACGCCTGACACCATGCCCATGCCCGACACCACGCTGCAGAGAAGCAACGCAGGGGTGTGGACTTTTCCTCTGGTTGTATTTTCTTGGTTACAAGACACAAGTTGGCAATTTTTAACTCATTCTCAATTTTTTTAATCTAAAGGAGAATCAAAGAATCCAAGAATTCTAGAGCTGTCATAAAAGAATATACACCCCTCAATTTGTGGACGAGGGAAATTGTACAAATAAAGAGATGCAGTGTGACTTGTCCAAGGATTCAGAGAGAGACCCTTTGTGCTCACAATCAGGCATCCAATACCCTCTTCCTCATCTCACCTGCACTGCACACACACGTAGTGCACAGCACCAGCCCTTACCGTGTCATTATTCCACAAGCTCATTGTTCACACCCAGGAGCACTCCCCGTCACTCTAAGACAGTTCAAGTGCTTCTCATAATGAGCTCTGGATTCCGGGCCATCAGTTCCCACCTCTGGGGCTACAGTCTGGCTGTGACATCTGTCTCCTCATTAAGAGCAGGTCGACCCCACTGGTGTGGCTGATGACACGGTGCCTCCCTTCTCACTCATTATTTGCTTGAATTCTTCCCAGAACTGTCTGCCCTTCATTTTAAGAGGGCACCATTTTCTTCGTTTTTGAAACTAGAGAACTACACCGTACAATCTGTCAGAATACTAAAAAATGGGGGAGGGACATTTTTTCACCTGTACAAGGCCCATGGGAGTTGGCTGACGATATGGCCATTGGGAAATGAAATGTGTCCCAAAGGCCTAKGGGTCAAAGTTTGATCCCCAAACGGTG